AAGGTCTTAAAGGTTATAAAATCGTGTTGAAGTCGACAATTTAAAAGATAAAGATAGAGTGTAATGAACTTTATATAAAACTGAAAACAAAAATAAAATTTTGGAACCTTTTTTATAACTCCTATAGTGTATGAGATAATCATCAAAAACCTTCGATATTTTATCAGTTTTTCGATTTTACAAAAATATTGTAAGTTTTTCTGATGAAATATAGTATAGATTACTAGTGGAATTTCTCTCTATCTGTTAATAAAGTTATCACAGGTGGTTGATCCATTCCGAAGATTAGAGCCAGGAAAGACAGACAAACAATCATTTCAAACAAATAACCCTCAGAGCCTCGTGGGAATCAGTAATTTCGGTGTAAAGAGCGATTCATCATTTTTATTTATAACTATCGGCCTGTCCTGGCTTTGCTCGGGTTGAACAACTGTCTCTTTTAAATGTTAGATTTAATGAATTTTAAAACTTCTTGGTACCACATGTTTGGTTCCGTCTTTCTGATGTTTTAAAATAAATTGATTCTCTGCATTTCCTCACTTAGAGAGACCAACGATGCACCGACTGCCACCATAATTATTGTGTTACAGGAAGGTTTTTATTTTCAAATGTTACCACGCACTTTTTTAGAACTTTTCAAGAAGAACCACCACCACCGCACATTATTTTTTACGGTTTGACAAAAAATGAGATTGACTTCATTATGACGACCAGACGACAACTGTTCAGTGATGTCTCAGTGATTGCGAGGGTGAAAACCGGCAGCGATCACCGAATGGTGAGAGGCACATTGAACTTAAACGTTAAGTTGGAAAGGTCACGTCTAATGAATTCAACACTCCGTCCCCTTCGTGCTCTAATTCAAAGCTTCGAAACCAATCAGCTCGAGTTACGAAATCGGTTTCAGTGCCTAGAAGATTGCAATGCAGTGGACGATATAAATGACAAGCCCGTGAAAACTGTCCATGCGGTCGGAGCTAAGTTTTGCAAGACCCGACGCAGAATAACACAAAAACTCTCCAATCACACTCTTAATCTCAACTGAACAGATAGATCACCAAACGCATGCGGCGCGACTCACGAAACTTTAATACTGCTTGTATTGAAAAAGCGATCGAGCGGAATCAGGGCTCCAAAGTCTTTGCCAGAGATCTGTCTGCCAGAACGTGCCAACAGTCGAAGCTGAAGACCGAATGTGGCATCATCGTTTCCGAGACACCTAAGATTTTGAGCGAGATTTAGAGGTTCTATGGCCTGTTCACGTCATCGTTGGATCCAAGAGCAAATCTTATCCGACACTATTCCAATGATATTGCAGACGTAAACGAAATTATTAAAACAAAATTCTTTGATTTCGTTGAAATTTAGGCGGTGCTACAGTCCCTTTAGCGATGTCAATTTTACTGTCGCTATATCTAAGTGCTAAAGTGTTTGTTCAGTAGGTCTACGATGGCTTTCCGAGAACAAAACCAAAGATCGAAACCTATTCAATTGCAGAGAGGTGTAAGACAGGGTGACGTAATATCCCCGAAACTCTGCACCACTGCATTGGAAGACGTTTTCAAGCTACTGGACTAGAAAGGATACGGTACGGTCAATTTGAATGGCGAGTTCATCACTCACCTTCAATTTGCAAACAATATAGTCCTTATGGCAGTATCCCTGGAGGACCTAAGCACTATGCTCAATGACCTCAATAGTGTCTCCAACGGATAGGTCTTAAGATGATCATGTCACACCTATGCCGGTAGTTGTTGGGAGCACTAAGCTCGAAGTAGTTGATATGTTTACCTGCGACAAATAGTTCAACTAGATAAGACCAACCAATAGTGGCCCCGACTCCCACACCGCGACCGGCAAGCCCTCGTACCGACGAAGAGGTCGAGCGCATTGTCCGGATCTGCATGCTGCAGTGCAGGAGCATGGTTAACGCTCGGCTGGAGGCAATTTCACGGCGTCTCCCGACGGAAATCCTCAGTCCGCCTTTAGCGGCTGACACGCGGAGGACTGAAGAGCCGCCGAGACTTGCGCCTCAAAAGGGGAAGCCCGCGGAGGGTAACAAAAAGCCCCCAGTTCACTCCTTCGAGCGAACGAGCCCACGACTGCCGGGTCTAAGGGTGAAGCCTGGTCAAAAGTCGTGGGCCGCAAAAAGGCCCGCAAGGCCGCCAAGAAGGCCTCAGCAGCTGCATGCGCCCCAGGTGGAACCGCAAAGGCGGCTCCACAACCTGCGCGAAGGACTGCCAAAGGCGGTCGCATGAGACCGGGAGTGCATGTTCCACGGTCCAATGCCGTGACGATAAAGTTGTAGCCTGGAGCTGTGGAGCGTGGCGTGACGTACCAGTCGGTCATCGCCGAGGCCAAGGCCAAGATCAAATTATCAGATCTTGGCCTTCAGTCCGTCACCCTCAGGCAAGCTGCCACGGATGCGCGGCTGTTCGAGGTGGCTGATACTGTGAGCGGCAGTGCCGAAAGGCGGACGCACTGACTGCCAAGATGAGGGAAGCCCTAAACCCTGAGGACGTCCGGGTCTCCAGACCAATGAAAACCGCAGAGGTGCGGATTGCTGGCCTGGACGACTCCGTGACCTCTGAGGAGGTGGTGGCTGCCGTTGCCAGAAGCGGAGAGTGTCCGCCGGACAAGGTGCGGACTGGCGATATACGCACCGACACCACCGGACTCGGCGCGGTCTGGGTTCGGTGCCCTGTAGCGTCAGCGAAGAAGATAGCCGATAGCAGCAGATTGCTGGTAGGCTGGGTGGCGGCAAGGACCACCTCTTACAACCCCGGGCTTTGCAGTGCTTCCGGTGTCTAGAAAAAGGGCACGTCCAGGCGAAGTGCACCGCCAACATTGACCGTAGTGACCTCTGTTATCGCTGCGGCCAGCCTGGCCAAAAGGCAGCCCTGTGCACCGCGGCGCTCAACTGCAGCCTTTGTTCTGCTGCGGAAAGTCCAGCAGAGCAAAGAGTAGGCGGAGGGACCTGTGGAGCGCCTGCCAGCAAGGCCAGAAAGAAAAACGAAAAGAAGAGGAGCACTAAGCCTGCCTGGTTATCCTCGCTGCCCCTGCAGGCTAGCAGCTCCGCGGCCCACTTCCGGGCCAGGACCGTTGCCGAGGGAATGGGAAGTCAATAATAGCACAATTCCATTTACTCCGGCGCAACATCAACCACTGTGCCAGAGCTCAGGATCTCCTACTCCAGAGCATGGCAGAGTGGTCGATTAACGTGGCTGTGGTCGCCGAACCGTACTTCATTCCCGCCCGTGACAACTGGCTGGGATGCGCTGACGGTTTAGTGGCCATTATTGGCGAGAATCTGATCGACCCGTCTCGGGGCCGCGGAACGGTTGCTGCGGTCTTGGGCGGCATCGTTATTGTAGTGGCATATTTCTCCCCCAACAAGAGTCTCGCCGACTTTGAGGGTTTCCTTGTCGAGTTGTGCGCCGTCGTAGGCCGCTATCACCCTCGTTCCGTTCTGATGCTCGGGGATCTCAACGCCAAGTCATCGGCGTGGGGATCTCCAGTCACTGACCCTCGGGCGAAGTGTTAAGAGAGTGGACGGTGACGACTTGTCTGGTCGTCCTGAATCGGGGTTCGGTATTCACGTGCGTGCGGCAGCGGGGTGGGTCGAAAGTGGACGTCTCGCTTGCTAGCCCCTCTGTTGCCAGCCAAGTCCGCGACTGGCGTGTCACCGCAGAGGTGGAGACGTTGTCGGACCATCAGTATATACGGTTCGACGTCTCTGCCCAGACCGCGATCGGCCGATTCAACAACTCCGATTAACGACGGCCCGCGTTGGGCGCTTAAGCGTATCGACAGAGAACAAATTAAGGAAGCTGCCTTAGTCCACTCCTGGATCTGGGAGTCATCGACGAACGGCCCCGTCGACGTCGAAGCGGTGGCGCTATGGTTTCGCAGGGCGATGACGCAGATCTGCGACGCATCCATGCCCCGTGTCCGCCAACAGTCCGGAAAGCGCCAGGTGTACTGGTGGACCGTCGAGATCACGCAATTGCGCATAGCGTGCGTTGCGGCTTGTCGCCGGTACACCCGATACCGGAGGCGGCGTCGACGGGATTCCGCCGAGGAGGACGCGCTGTATGAGGTGTACCGCGCGTCTAAGGAGACTCTGTGGCTGGCCAACGGCGACTCAAAGTCGCGTGCCAGGGAGGAGCTGCTGGGGTCCCTAGATCGGGTTCCGTGGGGGCGCCCCTACCGTTGGGTACGGGGCAAGTTGCGTCCCTGGGTGCCTCCACTAACGCAAAGCATGCAACCCCAGTTGCTAGAGGCGGTGGTATCGGCTCTCTTCCCTGAGCGAGTGGGACACGTTCCCCTGGCGATGGCTTCGCCCTTAGCCACAGACTCTCCAGAAGAGGAGAGCACCGAAGTCCCCGAGGTGACGCAAGCAGAGACGAGAGCGGCCGTGTCGCGACTCCGGGCTAAGATCACAGCATCCGGACCCGACGGAGTTCCTGGTCGAGCTCTCGTCCTGGCTCTGAAGGAGCTAGAGCCCCAGCTGAGGGGGCACTTCACGGCATGTCTCGAGCAAAGTCAGTTCCCCAGAGTGTGGAAGGAGGGGACGTTGGTCTTGCTCAGGAAGGAAGGGCGTCCCGCGGACTCAACGTCCGCGTACCGGCCCATAGTGCTGCTCGACGAGGCGGGCAAACTTATTTAGCGTATCATCGCAGATCGCCTCGTCAGCCACTTGTGCAGAGAGGGGCCGGACCTGAACGAGAACCAGTTTGGTTTTCGTCGTGGGCGCTCCACCATAGACGCTATTACGTGCGTTAGGGCCCTGGCGGAGGAGACAATGTCCCGGGAGTGGGTGATGCTTGCGGTGTCTTTAGACATCTCCAACGCCTTCAACGCCAACCCTACCCTGGAGTTGTATCCGAGAGGCGCTGAATTACCATGGCGTGCCTCCCTACCTCCGCCGCACAATAGGGGCTTACCTTGAGGAGAGATGCGTTACGTATCGGGGATGTGACGGCGCAGGTAAGCGCGTCATGTCGTGCGGTGTTCCGCAGGGATTGGTCTTTGGACAACTCCTGTGGAACATCGGCTACGACTGGGTACTGAGAGGTGAACTCCCGTCGGGCGCTGACTTGACGTGTTATGCGGACGACACGCTCGTCACTGCCCGGGGAAGCTCGCACAGGGAAGCAGCGTTGGTTGCCACGGCTGCGGTGTCACAAGTGGTGAACGGCATTTGTGCCTGGGCCTGGAGGTGGCCCTAAAGAAGTCGGACGCCATGGTGTTCCATGGCCTTCGAGACGTGCCACCGCCGGGATCACACATCGTGGTCAGCGGAGTCCACCATGAAGTATCTGGGATTGGTGCTCGACAGCCGACGGGAATTCGGACCCCACTTCCGGCGGCTGGCGCCCAAGCTGATGGGTGCAGCAGTGGGCGCGCTTTCAACGTTGCTTCCCAACTTGGGGAGCCCGAGCGCCGCCCGTAGGGGGTTGAACGTGGGAATCGTGCAGTCCATGACCCTGTGTGGGGCCCCTGTTTTGATGGACATGACGGCCAACACTCTCGCCATTCTGCGCAATCCGCAGAGGGCGATGGCCGTCAGAGTCGTCTGCGGGTATCGCACGATTTCCTACGAGGTGGTTTACGTCCTGGCCGGATCCCCTCCCTGGGACCTAGAGGCGAAAGTACTCGCGTCATTATATCGATGGCGCAAGGAAGAGCGGGCACGGGGCTCGAGGCCGCTACAGCGGCAGATCGCGCTGCGTCGAGAGGAGCTCCGTCAGGTCTTGTTGGCGTAATGGCGGCAAAGGCTTCTGCGCCCTACCGCCGGCCTCGCTACCATCGAGGCAATCCGGCCAGTACTCGACGAGTGGCTCAGGAGAAGGCACGGCTCCCTTCGTTTAGGGTGACGCAGGTGCTGTCGGGGCATGACTGCTTCGACAAGTACCTGTGCCGCATAGACAGGGAGCCGGACGCTCGGTGCCACCACTGCGTCCATTGCGGGGAGGACACGGCGCAATACACGCTTGCCGAGTGAGTAGCTTGGGAGGAGCAGCGCCGTGTCCTCATAAATGAAGTAGGAGGCGATCTGTCGCTGCTGACTTTAGTGCGGAGGATGGTCGGTAGCGCAGAGTCGTGGAACGCGGTGGTGTCCTTCTGCGAGGACATGATGTCGCAGAAGGAAACTGCGGAACAGGAGAGGGAGATCTCGACTCCCTTCCCCAACCGCAGAAGGCGCACCGGGCGCAGGAGAAGGGCGGACAACGCCCTTTTCCGGCCCTCATGAATGGGTCCAGGGGCGAGGAACTTGGGGATGCCTCCCCTTTTCGAGTGACCCGAGGCGGAAGCGCGCGCGGGTGTCGGAACGCGCCTCTGAGGTGATGCACGGGATAGTTGAACACCTCACTACCCCGTGCAAGAGACGAGGCCCGGACAGACCGGGCCAGCACTAGTGTGTGGCTGCGGAAGAATTTGGATTCCCGCGGCCCCCCTCGCGCACGTGCGAGGGAACACCGGGGTGGTTTTAGCTGGTAAGAGTCCGGCACGCCCCTCCGCCTTTCCCCAAGCGGTGGCAGTCCACGAGGACTTCCCCCCGTAAAAAAAAAAGATAAGACCAACTTCGACCGAGAGGTAGATCGACGGATTCAACGCTGCTGGGCAGCGTACGGTAGATTTTTTTATTTTTATTTTTTATTTAAAAACTTAAATGTAACACCTTAAGGTAAAGGGTACATAGGGCGGACTTAATGCCATATGGCATTCTCTGCCAGATGCCAGATTACGACATATCTTCTCGTTTGGTATACCTCAGAACCTCAAAATTAGATTGTTCGACCAATGCATGTTGCCAGTGATGACCTACGGATCTGAGACGTAGTCCATCACTGCTCGTCGTATAAGGAAGCTCAAAGTAGCTCAACGAGCTATGGAAAGGGCTATGCTCGGCGTTTCTCTGCGTGATACACTTAAAAACGAGGATATCTGGAGTAGAACCAGAGTAACTGACATAGCCCAAAGAATTAGTATGCTGAAATGGCAATGGACAGCCATATAGCTCGAAGAACCGACAACCGATGGGGAAGGAAGGTTCTCGAGTGGCAGCCTCGTACCGGCAGGCGAAGTGTATAGTGTCCCACCACTAGATGGAATGACGACCTGGTAAGGCATGCAGGAAGTCGATAGATGCAGGTGGCTCAGTACCGTGCTTTGTGGCATTCCTTGGGGGAGGCCTTTGTTCAACAGTTGACTTGTGAAGGGCTGTAATGATGATGATGGTAATATATTATGTGCCGTACAAAACCGGGCGAATCGCTAGTTTAATATAAAATACTAGTAAAGATGCGTAAATTATTTACATAGAAACAAAACACACCTCCTTAATATTGTTATATACAATAAAACAAAATCAAAGCAAATGAGATAGAATTCATCCGATTCTTTTCCGATCCAATTTCGCATCCATAGTGTAATATATTTTATTTTTCAATTTATCACATGAGCTTTACTCAAAATGTAAAAATGTTTTCAGAATTTCGTTCTGCGGTTTCCTATACAGGGGATAAATTTTAATATTCGCGTCTCTATAAAATGCAGTTTGAATATTTCAGTTTTTGTGAAATGAATTTAATTTTTTTATTTATTATTTAAACATTTATTACCTTTAATAATATTATAAAAGAGAGTGCAAATTTTGTGAGTTTTTATATACATGGAGTGATTCAGGAGAGTAATCTCTTGAACCCCTACACCTATTGTACACAACGAACGCGAAGTGAAGATGTAGTCCTCTATTGTAGACAATATCAACAATCGTGATTCACTCCCACCGGCTTTTATATAAAAAAGTACACCAATAGCAAAAACAGATTCCAGTTAATACTTCTAACATAAAAATAAGATTATTAATTTTGATTATTATTAAAAATTGTTAATTGAATATAGTTAATTTCACTTAGACGTCGGTTGGTCTGTATGGATGTGAACAAGATATCTATCGAAAAACTGAAATTATCACTTCGATTTTTTTTATTAGCTTTAGATTTTATTCCTCAAGAAGCCTTTTGAATCTCACTATTGCAAACCATCCCGTTCTTCATTACAGCCCTTCACAAGTCCACTGCTGAACATGGCCTAGCCCAAGGAATGCCACAAATCACGGTCCCGAGACACCTGCATCAATCGACTTCCTGCGTGTCTTACCAGGTCATCACTCCATCTAGTGGAGGGATGCCCTACACTTCGTCCGCTGGTACGAGGCCGCCACTCAAGAATCTTTCTGCCCCATCGGTTGACGGTTCTTCGAGCTATATGGCCGGCCCATTGCCACTTTAGCTTACTAATCCGTTGGGCATTGTCAGTCACTCTGGTTCTACTGTGGATATCCTTATTTCTGGCCAGCAGTAAAGGATCACTTCTCAGTTCCATAGGTCATGACAGGCAACACACAATGGCTGTAATGTCTCGCTTTAAAGTTTTGAAGTATACCTTCCCGAACGCTGCCCAGCCGAGTTGAATCTGTCGTTTGACCTCTTGGTCGAAGTTGGATTTACCTAGTCAGACTATTTGTCCCAGGTAAACTACTGGTAAATGTGTGACATGAACGTTATACATGATCTATGTTTTGTCTATGTTCATCCTAAGGCCTATTAGTTGGGAGGCACTATTGAGGTTATTCAGCGATCCATTGATACCAGCGAGGTCCTCCAGCGATTCTGCTATATTGTCGGGAAATCGAAGGTAAAGGATTTACTCGCCAGTAGCTAGAAAACGTCTTCCAAAGCAGCGGTGAAGAGTTTCGGGGATATAACGTCACCCTGTCTTACACCTCTCTGCAGTTTGATTAGTTTCATACTCTGATTCTGTACTCGTATAGCTATCGTAACCCTACTGTACAAGTACTTCAGAACTTCGACATACCGACAGTCAATTTGGCACCGCTATACCACCGTCCAAATTACGATGGATCAAAGGCTTTCTCATAGTCCACATACGCAAGGCAAAGTAGCAGATTGTACGTAGGTCACTCAATATGTTTTGAGATATACAAAAAGTATTGTAGATACTATTAATATTTATTTAACATCTTTTCAAAATATTCTTCATCATGCTCTGTACAAAGTTTCATTCGCCTAAGCCAACTCTGAAAACAGTTTTGCCGGTCTTGATCTGACAGGTCAGAAATCGCTTGTTCGTAGGCGGCCATGGCTTCTTCGGCGCTTGAAAAAGACTTGCCTTTTATTTTTTCTTTGACTCTTGGGACCAAAAAGAAATCACAAGGAGCTAATTCAGGGCTGTAGGGTGGGTGACTTAGAGTTTCAACGTCAGATTCAACAATAAATGCATTTGTTGTAAGGTAGTGTAAGGCAGTTATTAACAGAGCCACGCGGCAGCTTTTGCTGTCGCACGGATGGGCCGGCTCGAACCGGGGTAGTACCACAACCTCACAGAAAACCAGCGTAAAGTAGAAGGTTTACCTCTGCCTTTCGCTTGGTGAGTGCAGGTGGCCGGAGGCCCTTTTTACTGGAAATGAGGCATTCCATATTAGTCCTCACGGGTGACAACGCATCTACATTTTGATTTGTAACAGAGGATAGATGTAGATGTCTATGGGCCGCGGCAACCACTTACCATCAGGTGGACTGTGTGCTCGATTGTCTCCCTTATCCTATAAAAATAAATAAGGCAGGTATGTGAAGAGGTGTTATCGTGATGCAGCATGATTCCCCGAAGCCTGGTCTTCTCTTGGTCTTCTCTCCCACACAGCATAATCGTAATGCATCTGTAGTATACCATTCAGAGTTGACTGTACCTACAATTTTCCAGCATTGAAGTCGAAAAATGTCCGCTCCGCGAAAAAAAAAATTGCCACCATTGTTTTGCCGACGTTACTAGGTCTTTGCAGTTTTGTCGGTAACTGTCCTTCTGAGTAGACCCATACCGATGATTGCCTTTTATTTTCCGGATCATATTGATAGATCCATGTCTCGTCACCAGTAACGATTTCTGAAATACGCCTAGCGTAGACGCATTTCATGGCACCAATCCACATGAGTCTGTTTTTCACTTTCGGAGAGCAAACGACGGACCCATCGACAACAAAGCTTCCTCACTCCAAGATATTGATGAAGGATGGTATGAATGCTCCCCGAACTAATATGCCTACAATCTTTTCGATGTCCGTATATGTGATTCGTAGGTCTTATCGCATGATTTACCCCTTTTGCATTCAGCAAACCACCTAAAAATTGTTGCGCATGATGGA